GACTTCTCAGTTCTTACAATGTAAGACAACTCAATGGCAGCTGCAATTCAATGATATGAGTTGTAAAATCTTAATGAAATGGTCATAAATCTAAAAACTTTTCTTACAACCCAGTCTTTGACTTTTTTTGAAATGCAGCTCAGCACTTTAGTTAAATGAATTATTAGAGACAGAGACTTTTAATATTTAACTCGGGTGATTTTGACCTGTTTTATTTCAGGTGTCTGGGGTACCAGTAGACAGGAATGTCTGTATATATGACTGACGTCGGTCAAAGATTCAAGCTGTGGGTCCTCACCAGCCACAAAGTGTTTAAGATTCATATTAAGCAGCTCTGCTCACTCATATAAAATATTTCTTAAATTCTTATGATTTTCCAAAAGAAATGGATTTGTTGAAAAATTGGACAAAGTTGTACTTCAAGTTGACAGATTTATAAAGGAATGATAGACAATTATGTTATTAAGAGTTATCTCTTTTATCAAAGTATCAATGAACTTTGAAATGAAGTGTCCATTATTTCTTTTAACCTGATCACTGTTTAGCCAGCTGTAGGGTTGGTATGTTGGTCAAATAACCCCCTTGCCCTCTTGATCTGTCAGTGAACATAACTTCATCCTTTTTATTTTAAATCACTATATCTCTAATACATGTATTTGTCAGAAAAAATGAAAAACCCAATGTGTGTATCAAAATGCCTTTAAAATGAACATATAACTTCATTGATGCATATTGAGTTGTTAAGGGGATTTGTGAATAGAACTGGCAAAAAGTTCGGGGGGCAAATTGTCAGCTACAAAAGGTAAATATTTAAAGATTTTATTACTAAAAACCAACTTTTATTCCCATGCGAGAAATTTTTGTGAGGTTTGCGAGAGCCTCATCATCCCCAGTATTTCTTTTTGTGAACCAGTCCTTAAAGCCTCTGTGTCTATTGTAAAAAAGGGCTTTTCCATAAAAATTAGTGATTAAAAAATAGTTTACCCGATGTAAAGTGGGAAATAAACTCGTAGCTAATAAAATACGTTAACAGTATAGAGTTTAAGAGGGTTGATATTTTTGTTTTCTCTGTTCAGGTTGAGTTACATTTTATTTTCTCTATGAAGGTGGAGTTATCCTCAGGGAGTACCTGGATGTAGAGAACACGGCCGCCTCCCCCAGAGGGGCCCCCCCCCCCCTTTGACGAACCCAGCACCGATATCAAATATTCTTTGCTAAAAAACGTCCAGCAAAACCTAAAAAAGGGAAGAGAGAGCCAACAAAACCTAAAAAAAATAAGAGAGAGCCCACAAAACCTAAAAGATAAGAGAAGCCCCCCCAAAAATTTTGAAGATATATGAGAAAGAGAGAGCCCACAAAACCTAGAAAGTTAAGAAAAGCCCATAAACCCTTAAAAGTTAAGCAAGAGCCAACAAAACCTTAAAACATAAGAGAGATTCCACAAAACCTGAAAAGATAAGAGAGATCCCACAAAACCAAAAAAGGTAAGAGAGATCCACAAAACCTAAAAAGATAAGAGAGATCCCACAAAATTTTGAAAAGATTAAGAGAGATCCCACAAAACCTAATAAGATAAGATAGAGCCCACAAAACCTAAAAAAATTATGAGAGAGGCCAGAATACCTAAAAAGATAAGAAGATCCCACAAAACCTTAAAAAGATAAGAGAGATCCCACAAAACCTAAAAAGGTCAGAGAGATCCCACAAAACCTAAAAGATAAGAGAGATCTCACAAAACGTAAAAAGATATGAGAGAGGCCAGAATACCTAAAAAGATAAGAGAGATCCACAAAACCTAAAAAAGATAATAGAGAGATCCCATAAAACCTGAAAAGATAAAAGAATCCACAAATCCTTAAAAGATATGAGAGAGGCCAGAATACCTAAAAAGATAAGAGAGATCCCACAAAACCTGAAAAGATAAGAGAGAGCCCACAAAACCTAAAAAAGATAAGAGAGATCCCACAAAACCTTAAAAGATAAGAGAGATCCCACAAAACCTAAAAGGGTAAGAGAGATACCACAAAAACTTAAAAGATAAGAGAGATCCCACAAAACCTAAAAAGATAAGAGAGAGCCCACACAAAGATAAAGAGATCCCACAAAACCTAAAAAAGATAAGAGAGATCCCACAAAACCTAAAATGGAAAGTGAGCCCACAAAACCTACAAAGATAAGAGAGATCCCACAAAACCTAAAAAGGGTAAGAGAGATCCCACAAAACCTGAAAAGATAAGAGAGATCCCACAAAACCTAAAAAGGTAAGAGCGATCCTACGAAACCAAAAAAAAAGATAAGAGAGATCCCATAAAACCTGAAAAGGTAAGAGAGACCCCACAAAACATAAAAAGACATTAGAGGGGCCAGAATACCAAAAAGATAAGAGAGATCCCACAAAACCTGAAAAGATAAGAGAGATCCCACAAAACCTAAAAAGATAAGAGAGAGCTCACAAAACCTAAAAAAGATAGGACAGATCCCACAAAACCTGAAAAGATAAAGAGAGATCCCACAAAACCTAAAAAGATAAGAGAGAGCCCACACAAAGATAAGAGAGATACCACAAAACCGAAAATAGATAAGAGACATCCCACAAAACCTAAAAAGGTAAGAGAGAGCCCACACAAAGATAAGAGAGATCCCACAGAACCTAAAAAGATAAGAGAGAGCCCTCAAAACCTAAAAAAGATAAGAGAGATCCCAAAAAAACCAAAAAAGGTAAGAGAGCCCACAAAACCCAAAAAGATAAGGGAGAGCCAAGAAAACCTTAAAAAGATAAGAGAGATCCAAAAAAAAAAACCTAAAAAGGTAAGAGAGAGCCCACAAAACCAAAAAGATAAGAGAGAGTTCACAAAACCAAAAAGATAAGAGACAGCCCACAAAACTTGTAAAGGTAAGAGAGAGCCCACTAAACCAAAAAGATAACAGAGAGCCCACAAAACCAAAAAAGATAATAGAGATCCCACAAAACCTAAAAAGAAATTAGAGAGGCCAGAATACCTAAAAAGATAAGAGAGATCCCACACAACCTGAAAAATTAAGAGAGATACCACCAAACCTGAAAAGATAAGAGAGATCCCACAAAACATAAAAAGATAAGAGAGATCCCACAAAACATGAAAAGAAATTAGAGAGGCCAGAATACCTAAAATGATAAGAGAGAGCCCACAAAACCTAAAAAGATAAGAGAGATCCCACAAAACCTAAAAAGATAAGAGAGATCCCACAAAACATAAAAAGAAATTAGAGAGGCCAGAATACCTAAAATGATAAGAGAGAGCCCACAAAACCTTAAAAGATAAGAGAGATCCCACAAAACCTAAAAAGATAAGAGAGAGCCCACACAAAGATAAGAGAGATCCCACAAAACCTTAAAAAGATAAGAGAAATCCCACAAAACCTAAAAAGGTAAGTGAGCCCACAAAACCTACAAAGATAAGAGAGATCCCACAAAACCTAAAAGGGTAAGAGAGATCCCACAAAACCTGAAAAGATAAGAGAGATCCCACAAAACCTAAAAAGATACGAGAGAGGCCAGAATACCTAAAAAGATAAGAGAGATCCCACAAAACCTAAAAAAGATAAGAGAGATCCCATAAAAACCTGAAAAGATAAGAGAGATCCCACAAAACATAAAAAGATATTAGAGAGGCCAGAATACCTAAAAAGATAAGAGAGATCCCACAAAACCTGAAAAGATAAGAGAGATCCCACAAAACCTAAAAAGATAAGAGAGAGCCCACACAAAGATAAGAGAGATCCCACAAAACCTAAAAAGATAAGAGAGATCCCACAAAACCTAAAAAAGATAAGAGAGAAAAGGGTTCACTGGAAAAAAGGAACAAAAGACCTGCAAGACTTAAAAAGATATGGAAGATGCTGACAAAATAGGGGGAAAATGGAACAGAGGCAAAACTAGCCTTAAAGTACATCAAGAGGTTGGTAAAGCCCATTAAAGGATTTAAAAAAAGGGGGGAAGACTTTAAATCTATAAAGGTATGAAAGTCAAGCTTTTATATCTACATTTCTCAGGTGTATCTCCTGTGAGAAGACTCTAACTACAATAGCGAAACTCTTCATTTTTATACGATATATAACTTACATTGTCTATAGTGCACATGCTAAGTTTGAAGAAAATCTACCGCCCATGGTATTTTTTAAGGGACCGTCTCAAAAACGTGTACATTTACTATATAGGATTATATAGGAAAGTGCCAATTTTTCGCACTTTGAAGCAAATTATACAAATACTACAATAGATTTTTTGCTCAAACTATAATATATGATGAATAATACTATATTGTACATTATATGTAAGAAACATAAAATTCTACCGTCTTGTTTCAAGAGGGAACATCTCCAAATGCCAAAAATTAATGAATTTTCCTGTTTTTACAGAGCTATAAAGTATAACGGATACAAAGGATTTATACAAAAAATTGTAAAAATGATGGAGAGATTCTCAAATTTCTGTGTATTAAATTTCAGGAGCATATGTTTATGACTTTTTCTTTTATAACATTTTTATTACTCTGACTTTAAGAACTCAACCTTATCGTAACGTCAAAAGCGGACAATTACATCGTCAATCTACCTATCAGTTGAAAAATCGTTTTAAAAATCAGTTACATGAAATCGTATTTAAATTTTTCAACCTGAAATTTCTTAATTTTGTTAAATTCTATTTAATTAAGTGAAAAAATTCCTTTAAAACAGTAAATACGCTTCATATTACAATGATGCGCGAAATACTGCGCAATGGAAACCACAGTCGGCACCCTTAAGACGGAAGGACTAATGACCCTCTGCTCCAAATTTCACATTTTTTTTAAACTTCCCAACATTGATTTTCATCAAGGGCTATAGCATCAGCTTAAAATCGCAGGCGCTTGGCCTTTTCTTTTTGTTAGAAATAATAAAACAATTTGAAAAAGTATATAGACAAAAGAAATAAAAATATTGTGTTTTTTAAAATCATGATCGAGTTATTTTAAACATATAGTTAATGAAAGTGGATATGGACACTCAAGAATTAAAATTATGGTCGGAAGAGGGATACTTCGTATCGGAGCCAGTGTTCGTAGCTACCCCCGGGGCAACGAAGGAGGATGAGGGTGAGGGAGATTAAATTAAAATCAACCAAACAAAGAAAAATAATAACAATACTTTAAGATTTAAACCAGTTTTCCTATACGCCCATATGTCCTCGCTGAAACAATTAAAATTTTTATTAAATTTTACAATTAAATTATTAAACTGACGATGATGTATAGAAAGTATAAATACTGATGAAATATGTCTAGGAATCGCAGAAGAAACTATAATATTTGAATTTAGATATGCTTTCAAAAGAGAATTTAAATATATTTTCATATATTTTAAAGATGAAGAAAATTTATTTTGAAACATATGCGTAGGAATTTATCAATAAATATATCAAATAAATTAAAATTTTTCAGGCATGGTCCTCAGCGCAATCAGTCCAGGTGATAAAGACAAGAAGGCGTTTTTGTTATTACTCAATGCGCAGACGTTTTTAGAAGAAGCCCGTGTGACCTTTGACACAGACAGATTTTCAAGAGATTTCCATGGATTTTTTAAGCCAGAAATGCAACGAATTTTACATTCAAAAAGGAAAGAAAACCAGTCTGATAGTTGATGTTGAAACAATAATGTTGGATATAAATGCACAAATTTTAATGTATAATGCATGAACTTTGAAAGCTTTTCCACGGTGCATGGAATCATCAATGCGAGGGACCAATGTTCGTGGATTTCATGGCTCATCCTTATCCATGAATTTATATCTCCGTGAACAATTATTATCTGGACAACATTAATTTCATTCAATCTTCTGTATATACGAGTTATTCACGAAATTAAGTCCCCATGTGCACGAACCAACAAAATTTTACTTGCCGTGGACCAACAATTACATAACCCCCACGAATTAAAATGATTTTACAGTAAACTTCATGAAAACATGTAGACTGACAATGCTGCAAAAAAAATTGTGATACTAATACACTATATGCTTTATTGAGACCAAAGTTAACAATTCATATAAATGTATATTTAACTTCAGTCTGAAATATCAAGTCGAAATGATATACCTGAAGAATACCACACAGTGGTCATTCAAAATACCCACACGTGACACTTTCTGTGCAGGATTTCATCCAAAAATAATGTTTAATATTATGACTGTACATGACTATAAATCATACTCTTTAATTAAATCTATTCGAAATATACTTGTTAATAATAAACAATGTATGAACTTTTTACATATATGTGTTGATAATTTTTTACAGTACTAGTATGATTAAGATATATATTATTAAAGTAAATTTGTTAGTTAAAACACATAGCAAAGAAATGTGAAGATAGGGAGTAGTTATGAAGCTGAAAATTCCATTGAAGCAATACAAATTCGGAATGGAGCAAACACCTTCATTGAATATTGATGAATAATCTTAATCTATAATACATTTCTTATATCAGAGAATACCTTCCCATAAAATATATAATTTTCCTCGAAGTTGAATTTTGAATTTCAAGTTTTTCACGAAGTAATTTATTCAGACATTTCAAAAACAGTTTAGAAAATGTGATAATCCTGTTATATTACAAAAAATACCAAAGAAAAAAAAACATATTCGAGGAACATTTCACCACACCTTTAAAAAAATTCTAAATGTTCAAGCACAATTTGACTTTTATATCATAAAAATAAGTTACAGATATTAAAACTGAATTAAGTAACCATCCTCAACAGTGGAGAGGGGAGGTGGTACCTACCAGTCCCAGTTTTCATCCCACTTCCTGTTGAACTCGAGTTCGGAGGTCCTTGATGTACCCACTACTCCATCATCATACAGATCACCGTACAAAGTCAAACCAACCGCCCCAAAGGTAACTGATGCGGCTCCTAACCCTTTAGCAAAATTCAAACCATATCTGAACACAATCATGATGCTGCTGATGATTTGAGTTTTTCGTAATTTTTCAAACTAGATTAATTTGTATTAGATTTGTGGTTAGAATGTGTTGTTTTAATTACAGGACCTCTAGCCTGCAGGCCTTTGTGACGGACTTTGTTCAGAATATATTTCTGGGTCAGGTTCATTACACGGTGTCTACCAGTATTAGTTCTGCCACTAAAGGTAAAAGTTCATGTACTAAACGTTAGCAGGTGTGTAAATATGTACTATTAATCTCCTAAAATGATTTGTATATGAATTAATATTATGATAGTAAACCAAGATATATGTAGTTTACTACAGGAAGTATAAACAAAAAACTTGTATAACTTTTTGAGTTGTATGATGGTTAAGAAATTACTGAGAAACATGAAATTTTTATGCCATGCTATATTTCTAATTTTGATTAACATATAGGTAATTTTTTCACAGTACTTTTATTTTTAAATAATTGGTTCATTTTCCACTTTTAAGATTTAATCCGCTACTACAAAAATCCTCAGAGTATGTATGTTTTGAAGTCACTAACAGTTTTTAGTCATATGTCTGTCACATGATTTTTTTTGGTTTGATCACATGGTTTTTGTTGTCATGGTGACAATTTTGAACTTATAGTGTCACTATTTCACCTCTCAAAAAGAGTGACAGATATGTGATAAATTATGTTGATGGTGACAATTTATAATTTTATCTAGCACTTTAACCATTATTTAAGATGGCTGCTAATATTCATAAATTTGATGCAACAAAACTCATCTACATTTGTATCTACTGCTAATAAATAAAAGATTGTAGATTATAAAACTGCCTAAGCCTTTCCTAGGCTTTTCTATAATGGTTCTTTATTATGGCATGAAGCTCATGCAAATATTATTTTATCATTTAATATTAAAAGATCAATTGAGTTTTTTTTTTTTTTTTTGCCCATCTTTCTTTTAATCTTTATTTCATTAGGAAAAGTACTTGTACATAGAATACCAGTTAAGATTATTCATCAAAGAAATAGCAACATAGCAATAATAAAAATCTTACTAATAATCTGTTTATATTCAAAATATTCCTCAGTAAATGTAGTTCACATAAACTTTTAGAAGCATTTCATAATTTTTTACAAAAACATCCTAGATGTTTATATATTTCCTTGAGGTTCGATGTCTTTTTCCATGTTTGATAACTCTTCAATCTGCTTGATACAGGATTCTTGAAAAAGATGACCTAACAGACCTAAGTTTTGGGGCCAATAGACCCCCCCCCCCCCCCCCCCCCCCACACACACACACAATAGTGTGGCTTGCGATCAAAGCCCCAGGAAACTCCTTGATATGAAGTCTTTAATTAAAACAGTTTATTGAATATTTTATTTAACTACATGTATGTTTTTTAAAGCGTAATATTTAACAAAATCCATCTCAAAAGATTTCTTCATTTTCATTATGCTACATAGTATTACAAAACTATTTTTTGTGTTAATGTCCCCCCCCCCCCTTTTTAAATCTGCTAATGCCTAAGAGTTTTAAGTTTCCTTGTACAATAAAAATTAAGTAGATTTTGGATCAAAGACCTTGGTAGCGAAGATGCTTGTACGGTACTTCACAAATGTTTGTACATGTATAACTTTGAGTTAGAAAAGGGTAAGAGTAACTGAATTTGACTGAAAAGTTACTGAACTTGACTAAGGGACATGGAACCTTAAGATTTTTCTCTACATTCTTGCATGATGTGATATTTTCTGATGTCTACACATGTTATCTCCTTTCTTTGTTTATGTCCACTCCAGTGGATGAGGAGGATGAGAGTAAGTCAGCATGTCATGTGACTGTCATGTGACCCTTATAGCTGCAGATGTGCACCACTATTATCTTTCTTTAAAATCTATGTTTTCTGTTCTTTCTAAAACGTAGCTTACATTAATATGCCACAGGCATTATTTTGTCTGAAACTGTCTCAGCTTTGAATATGGCTGTATAAATCTATATCTCAAACAATTAAGCATTAAGGCCATAATAAATAAATAGCTAGATTCTCATCCGAATTTTTTTCAAAATCGAGGCGGGCGGGCGGCTTTTATTTTATATTTTTTATTTTTTCAATTTTGCAGATTTTTTATTGACCTGGTCAATGGATTAAATTTCCCCAAATACCCAAAAAAAAGTCATAGTAAAGGTTCAATTATCTCATACTTCACATCATCACCGATCTTTTTCAACCAATGAACCTCGTTTAAAATATATACGCATGTATAACAGCAATTAGTCAATTACCATCTTTTCAGCTGTCAAATTATGTCGACTTTCGCGGGGTATAAAACGAAAATAGAATGGTAGATGAAAATATCCCGTAGAATTAAGATGAAAAAAAAACAGAAAAAAAAAGAGGCGGGGGTATAAGATTGGGGTGGGCGGGGATGAGAGTCTAGGAATATTTTTATTATGGCCTAATATGAAGTAAAGAAAGCATTACCTTAGGGAAAATATTTATTTTATTTACAGTTACAATGTACTGACTGTATAGAATAATAAATTGCATGTGAACTGCATAAAATATGTACTAACATGCAAGTAATTAGAACTAAAATGTAAATAATTCCATCTAATCACGTCACATCAACTCAGAAAGAGTAAAGTGATTGAGATGCAAGTCTATTGTAGGATTCAGAATGTATATATGTAGATGTGTTTAATGGTCAGTACTAATGGATAATTTATGAACGGAATATGCAACACTTCATGTACTGAGTATATACTTATAACTTGCATTTTCGTTATTTAATCAAAACACACGTATTGAACATTTTAAAATCTTACATTACTTGTTTAAACATCACTTAATGTTTATCCACCCCACACAGATATTGGAAAGATCCATACTCAGTAATTGCATAGATATTTTTATGACCCCTTCAAGAAAGGGGGGGCATATTGCTTTGCTGCTGTCTGTCGGTTGGTCAGTCTGTCTGTCGGTCCACTTAGTTTCCGTTATTTTCTTCACAACTGTTGCACATACTGAAGTGAAATTTATTATAAAGATTTATCAGATGAATATCTAGGTCAGGTTTTGTTTTGGGTACAATCGCGCCATTTTTGAGACAGAGTTATGCCTTTTGGACTAGAAAAGTTCCAATGGGGGGGGGGGGAAATGTTTTACAAACATCTCTTGTTGTCTAAGTGTTGTTTTTCACATGCCTTAATTGCATCTCTTTTATAGACCCACAAAGTTTGATTTTTTGGAAAACTTAATGTAGATGTTTTGCTGTGAATGTGAAACTTAATGTTGTTCAACTTTTTGTTTTTTCTTGTTTTCAGCTAATGTGCTTAACATTCCCGCCATTTACTAAATAATGTTGTGATCTTTATAACAGAATTGAGACATTCTAATATACAGCTTTCTTTATCTAGAAATCTGGTTGTGGCTCTCATTCTTGTCATTCATCCATTCTTTAGGTTTTGATGCCTTGAGACATGTTGTGGATCATAAAACACAGAAAGAACTCGGTGTATCGAGACCTTTATTGACAGTACGTATAATTCTCAGGCAGATCTTATTGCATCAATTATTGATATTATACTTTCATGAAAATTGGTTGAATCTGATTCATTGAGACACATTTGTTACAAAACACTATTACCCACTGAATAATGAAGCCACACCCTCCAGCGTAGCTACAGTCAACATTGCTCGACGACGGGTAAATTTTCCAAAAAAAATGTTGACTATGTAGAATTTATGTGTGCTGGGTTCACTGTTTATGTTTTTACATCTCAGTTGACAATGGTTTTTTTGGGGGGAAACTTTTCAATATTACACTAACTACATGAAATATTTATATTTGACACTTTTTTTAAAAAATACTTGTTCCTGTATTTTCAAATGTATATAGCAAGGTTTGAACAAATTTGCCAAAGCTGTCTTTTTTTCTTTTTGATATGACCTATTCCTGACCAGTTACATGTATCTAAAAAAAGGCATTTTTAGGTCACCTGAGAAAACTCAGGTGACCTATTGCTATCCGTTTTCGTCCGTCGTCGTCCGTCGTGTTTTAACATTTGAACATTTTCAGCTACATCTCTGAACCATGAACCAATTTCAACCAAATTTGGCACAAAGCATCTATGGGTGAAGGGGAAAAAAATTGTGAATTTCATATCCCTGCCCCCCGGGCCTGAGGGGTGGGGCCAAAACCACAAAAATTAATGCAATCTTTAAAAATCTTCTTCTTTACTCCTGGACATCAAGCAGTCAAACTGTTTGCATGATTGTAATCAGCATTGAGTCCTTTACCAAAATTGTGAAATTCATGGCCCTGGGGCAGGGGTTCTAGTGCTAGGGTGGGGGTAAAAAAGTATATAGTGAAAATGCATTATTTCTTTGGAAATTTTTTTACTCCTGGGTATTAAATAAACCAACTAATACATAGTTATGATGAGCAAGAGTGCCTCTACCAAAATTGTGAATTTTATGGCCCCAGGGTCAGGGGTTCTGGTGTTAGGGCGGGGCTCTATTGATTATATATAGTGAAAAAACATGATTTATTTGAAAATCTTCTTCTTGCCCCTGGGTATTCAATATACTAACTAAGTGCATAGTTATGATGAGGATGAGTGCCTCTACCAAAATTATGAATTTTATGGCCCCAGGGTGAGGGGTTCTGGTGTTAGGGTGGGGCTCTATTGATTATATATAGTGAAAGTACATGAATTCTTTGAAAATCTTCTTCTCTGCTCCTGGGTATTAAATAAACAAACTAAATGCATAGTTATGATGAGGATGAGTGCCTCTACCAAAATTGTGTTTTATGGCCCCAGGGTCAGGGGTTCTGGTATTAGGGCGGGGCTCTATTGATTATATATAGTGAAAATACATGATTTCTTTGAAAATTTTTTCTCTGCCCCTGGGTATTAAATATATTAACTAAGTGCATAGTTATGATGAGCTTAGTGCCTCTACCAAAATTGTGAATTTTATGGCCCCAGGGTCAGGGTTCTGGTGTTAGGGGGGGGGCTATTGATTATATAGTGAAAATACATGAATTCTTTGAAAATCTTCTTCTCTGCTCCTAGGTATTAAATAAACCAACTAAGTGCATAGTTATGATGAGCAAGAGTGCCTCAACCAATATTGTGAATTTTTTGGCCCCAGGGTCAGGGTTTCTGGTGTTAGGGCAGGGCTCTATTGATTATATATTGAAAATACATGAATTCTTTGAAAATTTTTTCTCTGCTCCTAGGAATTAAATAAACTAAGTACATAGTTATGATGAGCAAGAATGCCTCTTTTAAAATTATGAATTTTATGGCCCCAGGGTTTCTGGTGTTAGGGCAGGGCTGTATTGATTATATATTGAAAATCATGAATTCTTTGAAAATCTTCTTCTCTGCTCCTAGGAATTAAATAAACTAAATAATAGTTATGATGAGCAAGAATGCCTCTTTTAAAATTATGAATTTTATGGCCCCAGGGTCAGGGGTTCTGGTGTTAGGGGGGCGGGGCTCAATTGATTATATAATGAAAATACATTAAATCTTTGAAATTTTTTTTTTTTTGTCTCTGGGTAAAAGCAGATGAACTACCTTTATAGTTATGATGAGCAAGGGCCCTAATCTTGCAGAATTGTGAATTTCATAGCCCCAGGTTCAGGGGTGGGGTGGGGGCTCCCACTATATACTGAAAATGAATTTATTGTTTGAAATCTGCTCTTTTGTATTTATATAACATTTATTTATTTTTTGATATTAAGGGTGCCTTTTTGAATTTTGTGTAATGTGTGGACCTAGGGTCAGGGGTTTATGTCACAGGGTTAGGGGCACTACTGGTTAGTTGGGAAAGCATTTTTTTTCCCCCACCCTGCATATGGGTATTCAGTAACCAAGCTAAGCAACTGCTAAGTGTATTGTTATGATGATCAATGGTGCCTCTTTCAAAATTGTGAATGTCATATAGCATCTGGCTTAAAACATGAATCAAATTCAAGAACTGGAAAATTGTTGCATAATGCTCAGGTGACCTATAAGGCCCGTGGGCTCTTTTTTTTTTTATTTTTCCCCAGTTGACCCCTTATCTATATTATGTAAAATTTACTGTTGGGGAGTTTTTCATTTTTAACTTATATTTTTTATGTTTACAGAGCACAGTGACAGTGGATAAGAATCTACAAGAGCTGCGGGGAAATGATGCAGGATCTTCCAGACTATGCAGACCAATTCCTAAATGATCTGTAACACACTGAAAAAATACAAAGATACCTGTCACTCAGCATACAGGGGTAGGTTATTCTGTCACTCCAAATACAGGGGTTGGTAACTCAGTCACTCCACATAAAGGTAACTCAATCATACAGGGGTAAGTAACTCTGTCACTCCACATAAAGGTAACTCAATCATAAGGGGGAATTTTCCCCCACATAAAGGTAACTCAATCATACAGGGGTAAGTAACTCTGTCACTCCACATAAAGGTAACTCAATCATACAGGGGTAAGCAACTCATCATACAGGGGGAAGTAACCCGTTTACAGGTGGAAGTAACCTTTACTCAGCATACAGGGGCAGGTAACTCTGTCACTCAGCATACAGGGGCAGGTAATTCAGCTTACGGGGGAGAAACTTGTATATGTCACTCTGCATACAGGGGTAGGTAACTCTTTACCTGCACTCTGCATACAGGGGTAGGTAACTCTGTACCTGTCACTCTGCATACAGGGGTAAAACCCCCTACCTGTCACTCTGCATACAGGGGTAGGAACTCTTTACCAGTCACTCTGCATACAGGGGTAGGTAACTCTTTACCTGTCACTCTGCATACAGGGGTAAAAACCCCACCTGTCACTCTGAAAAGGGGGAGGTAATTTGTACCTGTCACTCTGCATACAGGGGTAGGTAACTCTTTATCTGTCACTCTGAACAGGGGTAGATAACTCCCTACCTGTCACTCTGCATACAGGGGTAGGTAACTCTTTATCTGTCACTCTGCATACAGGGGTAGGTAACTCTTTACCTGTCACTCTGCATACAGGGGTAGATAACTCTGTACCTGTCACTCTGCATACAGGGGTAGGTAACTCTTTACCTGTCACTCTGCATACAGGGGTAGGTAACTCTGTACCTGTCACTCTGCATACAGGGGTAGATAACTCTTTACCTGTCACTCTGCATACAGGGGTAGGTAACTCTTTACCTGTCACTCTGCATACAGGGGTAGGTAACTCTGTACCTGTCACTCTGCATACAGGGGTAGGTAACTCTTTACCTGTCACTCTGCATACAGGGGTGGGTAACTCTTTACCTGTCACTCTGCATACAGGGGTAGGTAACTCTGTACCTGTCACTCTGCATACAGGGGTAGGTAACTCTTTACCTGTCACTCTGCATACAGGGGTAGGTAACTCTTTACCTGTCACTCTGCATACAGGGGTAGGTAACTCTTTATCTGTCTCTTTATCTGTCACTCTGCATACAGGGGTAGATAACTCCGTACCTCTCACTCTGCATACAGGGGTAGGTAACTCTGATTATGATCAGTTAAATAACAGACCCTTTTTTTGAAGAAACTTTTGAAAACTAGATATTAATGTAAAACAATTCACAAGCAATTTTTGAGTCCCTGTTTTTTCTTTTTTTGTTTGATATTTTTTGATGACAAAGTTTGACTTTTGTTCCAATTTTTTCTGACAGAAATTGTCCAGTATGACTCTGATGACAGGCGGGTTATCAGTGCTATGTGGGCTAAAGATGAAGACATCAGTCGATTCCTCAGGTAAGACGTCAGAACAAGTTTACCTGTCCTATATCTGTTGTAAGATACATTGTATTTCTCAGCTATGTTAACCAATTTTTATTATCCTGCGAGAAATTTTCGCGAGTTTCACAAGAGTCTGGTCATTGCAAGTTTTTCTCACCGCAAACTGGTCCTCAACGTTTCTGTGTCTATTGACAACAGATCCAAAAGGGCCTGATTGTGGAAATTAGTCGTCGCGACCTAGTTTACTCCTGTAAATCACCAAACAAAGTCATCACAAATAAAAGTTGGTTAACAGTATTCTTTTTGTCTTGACTTACTTGAAAGATTATTGATAGAGAAGTTCAGTCTTCATCTTTCTTCTTCAACATTTTTTATATTATTTTGCATGTATACTTAAATTTCTGCACTAGATTTTCTTAATTTAATTCCTTAATTGTCTTAAAATTTATAATAAAACTTTTCTTTTTTTATGTGAATGTAGTTTCAGTTATGAAGTCAGGTAGACTGTTTCACTGTTTTGTGCACAAAATAATGTTAACCATAGAGGCTTATTCCTTTTCCAACCAACAACAGAGTTTCCCATCACCTCACTCTTTTCATTCAGACATGCACTCTTTTGTTCATTTACATGTAGCAGATAGCACCCAATTACCAACACACTGTCATGTTTTCAATGTGTGGACAGCAAAATTTTTTAAACACAAACATGATGAGGCTAACAAAAAGTTTGAAGATGTCCAACAGTATTTCAAAATGCTGAGAATAAAATACAAAAAGAAAAAAAAATGGTTGTAACTTTTAGCTTACTTCAACATATTCAGAGTATTCAAGATTTCTATTATCGGTATACTGAAAATCAACTGTATTCACAATTTTTTTTTACCCTTAATGTGTAACAGATTAGAATCAAAATATTTGAGTCATCGTTTTGTTCTCATTAAGATTACGCTCACTGTATACAAGGAAATTTTTGGTTGGGTGAATTTAAAAAGGAGTGAATTCAAAGAATACGGTATCATTTCTCAAACAAAAGTGTGACTGCTTGGACGAATTTAAGACAGGGGCAAAATTATTTGCATGATTGAAAGGGCGAAAA